AATGCCCGTGCGTCTATCGACACACCCAGGGGACCGCCGCCGCCGCCGCCGAACAGAGAGCAGGTGAGCGATGATGATGATGTTGAATATGATCCTTTCAACTACTCCGCTCCCCGGCATGGTCTCCCCACATCTCCGCCCCTCCCGCTCGGTCGCCCAGAGGCGCCTCCTCCTTTCCCACCACAACAAGCAGCCGATGAATATGACGATCTGTATGATGCACCCCCTGTGCAGAGCCCGGTAAAAGAAAGACCTTCTGCCTTGAATGAGAAGCGTCTTTCACTGGCGCCTATGCCTCCTCAAAGCCAGTCATCGGGTTTGCCATCCCCATCCGCAGCCCGAACCCAGCGCGCATCTATGGATCTTCTAAGAAATCAGCCTAACCTTCGTCGGTCCATGGATGTTTCTCGCCCATCTATTGACCAAGGCTACATCGCCACCGATGTTGATTTCGCCACGTATACCCTCTGGTGGACCAAACCCAACACCCCGCCTCCAGCTTTCCAGAATCGCAATGATCTGCTTTTCGAGGTCGAGGAGACTGCGTCCACGAACCGCAGTGGCAAAACAACAGTCTCCAAGGATGTCTATATCCTGTTCATCGATTACTCGCAGACAATCTTGAATGTTCAATTCGACCCCAAGAACCCCGCGGATGCTTCCTTTGAGCAGCGCCATGAACCCCCGCCGCTTTCGCTTCGTCAGGATCAGCTTGAGCAGGCTCATATTCAGCTTGGGACCCGAATCTCGGAAGCCGTCAACTCGGTCCAAAATTCCACTGTTGGGGACGGCACTCCTTTCGGGCTGGTCCAGTACCTGCTCAATCCTCTTTCCGATGCACTACTTCCCGTGGGTACTCGCGGATACGGTGCCTCGGTTTATTCAAACCTGGCCAATGCCTCTGTGTCTCAGAATGACGAAATCCGCGCCGGTGACATCGTCAGCTTCCGCAATGCCCGATTCCAGGGCCACCGCGGCACCATGCACCAGAAGTACAGCGCCGAGGTTGGAAAACCCGACCACGTCGGTATCGTGGTTGATTGGGATGGCACGAAGAAGAAGATCCGAGCCTGGGAGCAAGGCCGTGAGAGCAAGAAGGTCAAAATGGAGAGCTTCAAGCTAAACGACCTCCGTAGTGGTGAATGCAAGGTCTGGCGAGTGATGCCCCGCAGCTGGGTGGGCTGGGAAGCCAGTAAGTAACTGGATGTAAGGATTCTGGTTTGAGCATTCGACCTTTTTGTTGTAGTTATTGCGCTATGAGCAGACGACCCTTTCTTTTGTGTTTCTTTTTTTTTTTTGCTTGCCCCTTCTAGATTGGGTGGGATCATGTATGAATGAAAAGGAGCCTCCTTTCTCCCCTGTCTTCTATATTCTTCTCCATTTTCTCTTCTCATTTTCCTGTCCTGCTCCCCTCTCGTGAATCATCTGGACTTGGTGTGGTAATGTGGGATGGACAATGGTGGTCCCTGTTTGATGGAGAGTTGAGCGAGCGTGCAGCCTTTCGTTTATTTTTGTCAATAGTACATCTTGCATGATTCTATCCGAGCAAACTATGGTATACTATACTGAACTTTTCGGTCTATCTATAAGTGATCATAGCTTCGTTTGCAGATAGCTTTCGAGGGTTGGAAAGTAATGTATATTTCGGCGATAGTGATAATATATCTCCTACAACATAGCCGTCTGGTCCAATGAAACTCCAGCACAATTAAAATTGCACGTACTTTTGTACAGATGTTGTACACGAGGATGTAAGCTAACTTTTGAGGGAGTTTCTAGGGTTAAGCCAATAAACCCAGTTCCCGATCTGTGTTCTAGAACCCAACGCCCCGTCTGAAGTAAATTAAACCTAACATTCTCGCACTAAGAAACTTTTCTCTGATTAAATTCGACGGGCACCAAATCCAACTGCCGACTCCACCAACCATTCGTATTCCGAAGTTTGACCCTTTAGCCCGAGGAAAACATCGTCTCAAACCCGTTGCAAACCCACAATTAGGCACAACCATACTCCCCGGATACAATGATGGAAGTGCATCGTACGGAGTACAGTGGCCCCGATATATGAGTATCTGAGAGCAAAGAATCACCACGGAGTAGGCAATGGGCGAATTCGCCTTGATCATACGACTACATGGACATATCCTTGCAAATTCTCCTCCGTATTCTTCCATGAACACCGTCGAGAGACCGGGGGCAGCCCCCGGTCTCAGGTACCCCTCATCACGAGTAGGGGAGGGGGGAATGAGGGATGAGGGATGAGGGGCTCCAATTATAATATGGGTTTTCTTTTCTTTTTTTTTTTTGGTTGAGTTTCCACCAGTTTGGTGTACCGTGTTGGTGGAAGCCCCTGGATCTCCGGCTATTCATCCGGACATTGATATTCGCGATCGGTTCCTGGATTCCGAGCTGATCGCGAATATCGGATATCAGATTTTCGTTGGCTTCTATGCATTCTAGAAGTATACATCAATGCAAGGTGACAATATACTACCGGTAGACTACTCGGGAGTGTATGGAGTAGTGTGTATGGCATTTCATATTTAAAAGTTTTGAAGCCAATTGACAGGTCCAATGTCGGGTATTTTGATTATTCTATTTTTTTTAAAAATAATAATAATAATAAAACCGAACCTTTGGCCACGAGGATTGGCTCCACGGAGTGCTAGGTTGAAACCCGGTTGGCGGATGCTTTCCGGTACGCTGATGTCTCTTGATGCTCCATCTATTGCACATGGATTTATATTGATGACATCAATCCAATCAAAGCTAGATTTTATATTTATGATCCCTATCTAAAACCTGGAGGCTTTTTAAAACATGTCTTCAAATTTGTACCCCGTCACGAAAACGAACCCGAGGCGTTACATTAGGTATCCAGATTGGGACTAGTCAGGGGCAGTATACCATTTCTTTTTTGGACTTTCTAGGGCTAATATGATCATGTCTAACTGTTTCTAGTCAAATTCGGAAGTTTGAAAAGCTTGTAGGCGGGGCCTTCCCAAACGGCTGTCAAGCCTACCGGCCAAAACGCAGCTTAGAGGCGCGCTAAAGAAAATTTGCTCTTCTTTTTACCCTTCTAGGCTTTGGGGCTGTTTGATTCTCCATTAATTATCTGTTCGGTTCCACACAGATCGGAGAAACTATTTCGATGTGAACCTCCTATCGGGGGCAGATACCATGGTTCAGCTTCTCTCTGACCTTGGAGGATCCACCAAAGTACATAGGAACGTCGGAAAGTCCAAGCTGCATCAGATGCAGAGTGTTATTGTCCTGCACTCCTACATAGCTGCACTCCTGCATAGTTGCACTCCTGCATGGTCGGAACATTCATGAATTCAGGTCTTGGCTTATTGTGTTAATATTGCATGACACTTCTTACATTGTGGCTGAATTGTCCTACAATGTACACACCATTGTTCATTTCTCAACCCAAGCCGTATTTTTTTTTTTCCTTAATTTTAATTTTAATTGTGTTCCCCCAATATATTGCCCTATGAACATATCCAGATTATGATCGCGATGAATCTCCCACCCGTATTCTAGTTTTATTGCATAGCAGTGCCACCGTGGATCGCAGGTCTGATTAGCCTACTACAACATATGTACGTTGAGGTATAAACAATGAATTTCCCTTGCCGGCTTCTTACGAAGCAAGGAGTTTAATGGCTTATAGTGTGTGACTTGAGTCTACTGCTCCATTCTGATATGAGAGATTGGATGAACTACCGTGACCACCTTCCACATCAAAACCTTGCCCCGAACTGTGGAATGAAGTAATGGGGCGACGATCTTGGTGTTTCCCGTGTCCAGGCCCCCGGGGCTCTCTAGCGAATGAGTGTTTTTTGTTTTTTTTTTTTTTCTTTCCTTTGCTTCATTACAGAGTCCACAGTTTCACAGGAAAACAACACAGTGAGGAAGATACCAAATTGCATGTCTCGAGGGAATTGGCCACATCGACATATCCAACCGAATCCCCAGTTAGAGTGGCGTTCAGCCCCAGGCTCCACATTAGAGAGAAGAGAAGGAGAGGGGATGTGATCCTTAACATTTTATTATTATACGTAAGGGGGGTGAATTACATTACAGTAAGTTTATTAGATGACTACTTACTATATAGCGGGAGCTAGACTATTTGCCTAAGTAGCTTTACCATACCGTACCTGCATCGGACCATGGATGCGGCTTCGGGAAGCCCCTTGGGGCCTCATGGACAGTATACAGCTGAAACAGTAAATAAACAGTACATAGATTGTACAGATAATCAAACAGTAGAGAGAGTATACAAATATACAAATATACAAATATAGAATTATAGAAATAAAAGAAGAATAAGATCATTTAACAGTTAATATTGATCGACTTGGTGGACACCAATTTGAGCCGATCATCTAGATCCCTTTTAATTTTTGATTTTTAATTTTTAATTTTTGATTTTTTTTTTCTCTTCGTAAATGTGGTATGCCGCTAAGAGAGAGAGAGTCCTGGAGAAGTTACAGTTCTGGATTCATTCCAAATCTCTCGCATTCTTCGCGTCAACTTCCCCAGTCACTCTTTTTTTCTTTTTTTCTGATCGATTTCCTTCTCAACCGATTTTGCAGCCTATTGCTTTCCTATTTCTCTCATGCTGTGACCTGTCGATCCCCGCCAAATACTTTGATTGGTCTTGGATCCGGACCATTCACGGTACACGACTTGAACTTGGCATTCCTTGCGCCTCTTCTCTTCAGGAGACATTTCTCTCCCTGACCCTCAAATCTGCACTTGTCGCACTTGAAGGTCATGCCGCTCATTTCATACTCTGGATAAGCATATCCATTGCGTCACTTTTGGAAGGCATTGAGCCAAACCGAGACACTGATCAACCCTTAAGCAACTACTACACACTCGCTGGATTTATCGATATCGACACTCGTTCAACTCAGATCTAGGCATTACCGAATCGCATTCATTCCTTGCCTATTACGAGGTAGCCCCTGAGCGCCTCGACTCTACCACCCATGATGAATCGATTCCGCAAACACAAGAAGGCGAAGGAGCCCGCGGAGGACCAAGAAGCGACATCACCATCATTGAGTCTGAAACCATCAAAGAAGAAGATCGTAGCGGAACCCAAACCAGATTTTGACCTATCAGCCGCACTGCCCCCGACAGACAACTTCCGCACCAGTCTCCTAATGCCTAAATTGTCCGCTCGGTTTAGCATGCTGAAGGAACAGGACGACCCACTTTCATTGCTGGGCAAGGCTAGTGATGATAGTGTTTTGTTTCCCAAGCGCGCTTCGCGACTCAACTTGTTCGGTCACAACCCTGCTACGCTGGCAGACATCGACGAAGTTTGCTCTAATGAAGGTAGCCGACCATCCCTTGCACTCGACCGCGGTTCTTTCGCTTCCGGTGGGGATGGCTATGGTACAGACGATGACCGATCCCAGGCGGGCAGTATGATGAGCAGAGCCCGTCGCGCCGAGGGCAATAACCTGTTCGGAGGTCGCCAAAAGATTTACAAGATCCCGGTCAGATCACCAGGAGCAACAACCCCCGATGCGCCAGAGGCTGCTCGCCGGGGAATGGGAAAGCCGGTCTATGACCACGACATGAACCTATCCGCTTTCCAGCGGTTGCGCCTCAAGGAGAAGGAAGAGAGGATGGCGGAGGCCGCCCGGGAATCTGGATATGCCGCCTCGACGGCTTCATCTAACAGCCGAGCCACATACTCCTCCACCGCATCTGGGCCTCTGTCAACAGTTCCAACATCAACTGGAGCAACCTCGGCCGATGAGTCACCGATAAACACATCCCAATCTCCAGTGACTGGTTATCCGTTCCCGGAAACCCTTCCTGAGGCCCCTCGGCCTGGTCCTGCTCCCATGTCTGCCCCACGCAGTGGTTCGATTCGCAGCCGTCGTCTCTACGGACAAGGATTGACCCAGACTGCTCAGAGCCAGCAGAGCTCGACCTTGAACCGTCTGGAAAGTCTGAGTCGCCAGCGTGCCGGAACTCCAGAACTCCCTTCTCTGAACCGCAACTACTCCAGAAGTGCCACCAACCTACGAGATCGCCTACAAAAGCTTGCAATTATCGAGCCGGCTTCTACATCACAGCCGACCAGCCCTCCTTCGTCCGCAACATCACCAAAGCCCCGCATGTCTGGGGAAGCTGCAGTCGGAGACCGTCTCTCGCCAACAGCAGCAACATTTGGGGCTCCTCCCCTGAGCCCGCCCACAAGTGAGAACGACGAGGTTCCCTCGCTGTTGGCTGCATCAATTCACCCAGAAGATCATGGAAAGGCTACTGCCATGGGCTTGTTCAACCGACCTGCCACTGGTTTCGACGAGCAGGCATTCTCTCGCCGCCAACTCCAAATGCACCAAGGACGAGAGACCCCGCCTCCGCGTCGTGCATCACCCCCGCGACGACCTCTACCCGCTGAACCCGTGGGCCGTGCTCGTGGGCTATCCAAGTCCAGCTATCGCTCCGGGGCAGAGTCCGCCTCTTCTCACTATAGTAGTGATGCGCACCGCGGCATTGATCGACCCGGTGTGTCCAGCGTTGAGGCTTCTCCCTTCAAGCCTGGAGTGAGGACTTTCTATGCCAACTCATCTGCCAGCGAGTCTGGCGATGAAGTAGAGAACCCTACTTCGCACGAACTCTCATCTGCCGCTTCATTGGCCACCGAGTACGGTCCGCCGCTTCAGCACTCCAGCATAGCATCTAACAAGCCATCGATTCCCACGAAGGATCACCTCGAAACGCTTCCCGAAGTGAGATACTCCGATCTAGGTGATCTTAGACCTATCGCCGAGAACGACCTTGACTTCCCGACTGATTCTCCCGGCGCCAGCGATAACACACCCAAGAGACCCGACTCGCCAACCCTGCAGCCAGATCAAGGCTTTACTGGAGTGGAAGTAATGATTAGATCACACCTGCGCCAGGAAAGTGACAAGTCTTCCATCTTCCCTCCTCCCTCACCTCGTTTCCCGCAGCAGCAAAGGGATACAGAGCCCCCTAAGACTGAGACCCAGAAATCGACTGCCCAGCCACCGACTGCTGTTTCCATGATAGCAGAAACCCGCGAAGAGAGTCGGCCATCGTCAACAATCCGCCCAGGGACCTCGAGCTCACAATCTCCTTCTGGATATTCCGCGGAGGGCACGGGGTCTCAAAACAGCGAAGAGTCATCCGCACCTGGAACTATCCCCGACACAGCTTCTGTATCAACCGGCCCGTCCTGGAGGGAGGAATTGGAACTTCATCATCGCCGTCATGGGAGCACTGAAACACAAAGGGAGCGAGAGGAATTCGCCATGGAGCTGGCAGAGAGGCGTAAAAAGGTGCAGGAGAAGCTTCGAAGTGTTGCTGAAAGCGAAAGCCGATCCAACAGCCCCACCCCGGGCCGGTCAACTCCAGATTTGTCCCGGACTGGTAACGCATTTGCCATGCTGAAGCAAAAGTCTAACAAGCAGGCTAGCGCAAAGCCGGATCAAAAGAAATTGTTCGGCTATGCCACTGGTAATTCGTCCACGCCTGCTCTCTCTTCAGATGACTCGTGGCGTGAAGAGGAGCGGCCCTCTTTCAGCTTCGGCCGACACTCCAACTCCAGCTCTCCCCACATTGGATCAGAGCGTTCGCTTAGATCTCGTGTGCCATCTCTCAGCCGCGACAACAGCTACGAAGACACGCGCGAGTCTAGCCGCAGCCGTGGCCCCTCGCCTTTCCGAGACCAGAGAGATCGTGCAGGTTCGGATGCATCCGGCCGGTCTAAGAGTCGAACCAGACTTCGCGAACGGGATGACCTCCAAACTGTGGACGAGGGTTCAACCATTGCACATGACAACTCTGTTGTTGCCGATGGCTATGAGCCTCCCGTGCCTGCCTCCCGCCCTACATCGAGTCGCCCATCAACAGAGATGTCTGACTCTATGAACTTCGACCGCGCCCCCTCCGCCGCTTCGGGCAGAAACCGCAGCACTAGCCGATCCGGTACATCAAGCTTCCAATATGAACGGCCATTCCAGTTCTCGCAGTCCAACACTTCCACGATCATCGGTGCTTCGCCCCGGCCCCCACCTGCCGCCCCGGCCTACTCTGCCAATGCCACTCCTCCGCTGAACGAAATGCCCACAGACAGCTCGTCTACATCCCTGGCTTCTTCATCCGGCAACTCGCAGATTCCCCAACGTGGTTTGGGAAACGGCTCCCTCCTGAAGAGACCCGTGAACAAGAAGCAGATCTCCGAGCCTACCTTTGTCTCATCCACATCAAACGTGCCTCTGGTCGGTCTCCCACCCGGATCCGCACTGCCTTCATCCAGTGGCGCACCTCCAGTGCCACCTATGAACCCTCGCCGTCGCCGGGGAACCGCCACTCAAACCATCTTGGGTGCGTTCAAGAGCGACAAGACCGACCTTTCACGGGTCGCTTCCCCCGTCCCGAGTGCCGCGGACGAACACAGTTTTTTCCCAGATGAAGAAAAACGTCCGCGCTCCCGCAACCGTCTCCGCAAGACCTCGAGCGAGGGTGTTAACCTGAACGCGCGGGCGCGCCAGGAATCGGTGACGGGCACTCCGCCGGCTGTGCCTCAATACCCGCCTCCGGCTATCCCCGTCGATGGAGGCATGTTCTAAACACAACTTCCCTTCCCCACTCTTCATACATTCACCTTGCCTTGACTAAGGCTCTCCTTATTCCCTTGTTGTCTCATTTACCTAAATCTACTCTACCTACTATTCCCTCACATTCCCTTTCCGGGTCTTTTCTTTTCTTCTCTGTCCCATCCTCCTCTCTGGACTCTCTCTTATCATTTCTACCATTGACGACTAGATACCACTCGGTGCATTTGAGCGTCTCATGTTACTTTCGATATTTTCTCTTTCCTTTTTGTTATCAACACTCTGGGCTTGGATTTTCACCTTCCATGTACGTACTATTTTTTTTCTTTCAATTCAATGGATACACTACTCGATATACTGCATTCTTATGGTCTTGGAGACTGCTCAAATTAGACGTAGAGCTTTCTCTCGTTACGTGTAGCTTCAGCTTGTACCAACGTCATATTCTTCATACTCCCAAACAAACCCTCTTTGCGCTCTTTTACGCCACGATGTACTGATGCACAATCGAGACTGGTTATGGTCGACTTCGAAGATTTACTATTGATAATTTATCCGTCTTTGTTGCACGTGTTTGAAAAGCATGTTAAATGGTATATAATTCTTTCATTTAACCCAGTATCATACATTTTCATTGCAATTGATTCATTCCCTCTCCACAGCCGTCTTGAGGTATCCTAAGACCCTCTCAACAAGGAACTTCCGCGGCTCAGCCTGGTCATCATTACTCAAAGCATGAGAAGCATTAGGAATAACACCAGTGTGCTTCTGATCCCAAATCTGATACTTCCCGTCATGATCAGTAGCCTTCTGCCACCTCGCCAGCATCTTGTCCTTATCAACATAATCTGGAATCGACTGATCCTTCCCAGAGATCAACACCATGAGCTTATGATTCAATAGCCCCTGCTGCTGGATCCTACCAAAGGTAGTCCCAAAGTGATCATCACTCAAATCCGAGCTGAACAAATCATCCTCCTGAGGCGCCTGCGGACTCTCCGGACTAACAAGACTCAAAAACCTCCGACAGCTAATCGGGGTATTGGCGGGATAAATCATGGAAGTCAACGAGAGAGGCAACATAGTATCATGAGGTTTTCCCTCCGCAACAGCCTCCTTCGCCAACGTCTCCATCTCATCATAAACAGCACGAGCCTTCTCCGGCGTCGTATCACCAATCCCCCACTTCAACACGCAGAAAATAGCCTCGCGATCAGAAACAGGCGCTTGCATAATCGCGCCGTCCAGCACGGGCCGCGTGATGTGTTCGATATCAGCGTCGAAGGCGGGGAGCTTGGTGTGCGGGTTCGACTGGGATAGGTAGTGCAGGACGCACTGGCTGCCCGTGGAATGGCCCATCAGGGCGATCTTGCCGCCGCCGAATTTATCGACCTTGTAGCTCTTGATGTACTCCAGACATTGCGCGATCTCGTTCGTGTCGCGGTCCAGATGGCCGAGACCCCAGGATTGGTATGAGGATGTGAGGTTTAGTGTGAAGAGGGACCATTCTGATTGTTGTAGTGCGCGCGCGAGATCGGCCATGTATGATGTTGTTGCGAGGCCGTCGCCTAGTCCGCCGACGAAGAGGAGACTGTGTGGTTGGCGGACGGTGGTGGAGGCATATTCGAATGTGACGAGGGTTTCGGTCTGTATGTTTGCTTGATTGTTAAGTTGTGATTCTAGGGTTATTATTGATAGCTGTGCGGAAACGTACGTAGTGGTGCAGAATACCGGGAAGGCCTCCCTTAGGCCAGAACTTGGACATGTTGGCGAGTATGAGGGGGTGTGTGGTGGGGGTAGTTGTGTAGGTGTTCAATTGAAGGGGAAAACTTTCTAGGAGCTAGAGACGGCCTCCGGGATAGGGTGTTTTCTTTAATCTAATAAATTGCCGAAATCGGGCTTTGTGTCTTCGTGCCATGACAGAATGTGGACAATTTATGCCGGTTTGTTTGAACCGAATCGCTTGATCCACAGGGTGAACTGTTTCAGGGCATCTTATCAATCTGATGATACCGCGTCAAGCCGAAATATTAGGTAACAAGTCTCACATCCATGGAATTCTTTTACGCTAACCTTGGAAGGTCTTGAGGTATGGAGGGGCAGGACAGACTTTTCAACAAAATTATATGGATGACTTGAACCAGGTATTTCAGTATATCGGTTTAGGTAATACAGTGTATCATAAAACAGAGATATTTTACATGTATATGTATTGAATACCTCGGTATGTATTTCGTCTTAACGGTAAATACAACAATGGGAGTCGTGTCTCGCCTAGTACAGCCAATAATTACACTCAGCTTGGACGGAAATAGAGATAGGCCAATAACACTCCACCGTTGAGACTAAAGCTGTGGTACCCCTGCAGGCTAGTCGTCACTAGCCGGTATAGGTAAGATCAACGGATCTGATTAGATTGATTGGCTGAAAATAGGAGAATCTGATTAGATTGCCCCTCTTTGAAAACTCTACCCAACCTGCAGGAGTAAATTCATCAACCTCAACACAAGACTTTTCGAAGATGCTTGGGAATTCTTGGTCAACTTAATAGTCAGCCTTACCCGACTTCATATTAGTAGATCCTTGCCTGAAGAGGCCCTTTTATATCTGGGCATTGTGCAAAACCAAGACCAAAGTATTGCAACATTGCAACCTTCATCAGACCACAAACGAATAGTATCAACAAGAGTGGATTGATATTTTGTGGCGTTTGGAAGAATCCATTTAAAGCTTTCTGCAAGCGAGCCAAGAAATCAAGTAAGGAACGTGCGCAACAAAGTGTGTCCTTTTTTGGATTTTTTTTATGCTTACACGCTCGTTGCGCCAGGGCCCAAGCGAATATTATTATTTAAAATTATCGGATGGGTATATTCGGAGCTTGCTATATTGGTACATATTGCGAAAAGTGTACGGATTACACGACACACATGCGCGTGTATGCGATCTTAAGGTGGGTCTCGGAATGACAAAATATCACAAGGCCCCCTCGTTCCTACCTCTATCGTGAATCGGTCTTTTCCGCTTGAAGCGCACAATCATGGGTCCCCTGAGCAGTTGGGCCCCAAAACCTCGGAGAACAATTCCTTTTCAGTTCGGAGTAAGCCTCGATGTGTTTCAGAATAGGTCGATCATATTCACGCTGCTTTCCTCATAGCCTACAGCATGAGGTTCTTTTAATTCTTGTTTTGATGATGAACAATAGCCTAACTGGAAATAGTCTTGGGTAGGCTTTCTTTTGTTTCTCATTTCTCCCTTACGATTTTTTCATGTGGAGCCTGTGGATACTTTCTGTATTATACTGTATTGTATGTAGGTTTGAGATCTGAAATCACTTACACGTACGATGAAACAGGCACATGCTCCCTTCCAGAACAGGTGTATGTCGAATAATCCACCCCGCAATAGCCGATCTCGGTGATGATATGCAAAATACCCGCAGGGTACATACAGTCAGGATACTTCGGAGCTTTCAGGCCTGGAGGTGGAGCATGATACAGCAGAACCGTGGCTAGTTGGCTATATAGTGACACACCTCCGTCAAATCGGCCCGCGCAAAGGCTCTGGATTTAATAGTCAAGCTCCAATTCCTTCCTCACATCAATTCGAGGCTAATTAGACCAGCTGTGCTGGTCTGCCGTCATAATGGGCTTCATGCCTTTCGAAAATGCCTGTATTCACAATGCGCCAAATGGAATTGAGAAAGTGCCAACAGACAAGAATGGCGACTTCAGCTCATTCCAAATCGCGCATCTTGCCTCTGAACAAATCACCACTCCGACCGGCATGAAGGAAGATATTGTACTGTTGTCATGGCTCATGGTCTTGTTGCGCAGCCGGGAAGACAGCCAGATATCATACGACTGGTCCTACAAAGATTTCGCAAATGGCACTGAGCCCGAATCGGGGAACAAAATATTGATGAATGAAGTAATGAAAGGATTGCAAAGTAATGTGGGAGAAGTTGCGATGGCGATCTCTCGGAATATCACCGCGGGAGCGTCAAGTCCCGCATCCCTCGTTTTGAGCACCAGCTCTCTTTCGCGAACGTCTGAAGAAGCCAAAGATGAAGTAAGCGAACAATTAAAACCATAGCCACGCAATCATAACTAACAGTGATTGAAAAGGGTATGCTTCATCTCGAAGTTCGCTTCAATAATGCCCACCTCGAAATTCGCCCATTGTGGCATACCGAGAACATGTTGCCGTACACAGTGAGTCACCATGTCGAGGCACTTGCCGACACCGTGAGCGTATGCCTCACAAATCCCGAGGCGACCATTGAACAATGCCTTCGGCCGACTGCAAGTGACTTGAACGATATATGGGGGTGGAACCACGAATTGCCTCCTACATACAACTTTTGCATGCAAGATATGGTCGCCGAAAGAGCTCGCGAATACCCAGACAAAGTTGCCATTGATTCCTGGGATGGTAGCCTGACCTATGGCCAAATTGATCAATGGTCCACTTCTGTGGCGTGCTCGCTCAAAAACATGGGCGTCGAGCTGCATGATGTCCTCCCCGTGTGCTTTGAGAAGTCTAGGTGGACAATTGTCGCTGTTCTCGGAGTGATGAAAGCAGGCGCAACCCTTGCGCTCATGGATCCAACTCTTCCGCTTGCCCGTCTTCAGAACATGGCGGTGCAGGTCGGCGCAAAGTCAATGGTTTCGTCCCGCAAGCAGTATGAGCTGTCACTGACGATCATGCCAACTGGAAACCATTTCGTGGTTGAAGAAGATGCTTTCACAAATTCAGCAAACCCCCCATCAATCTCCGACTTACCCGCTGTACCATCCTCCACCCTTATGTACATCATCTTCACCTCTGGCAGCACGGGCACTCCGAAGGGAGTGAAGATCTCCCATGAAACCTACACGAGCAGTGCCATTCCTCGAGCAAAGGCAGTTGGATACACGCCAGAGTCCAGGGTTCTTGATTTTGCATCCTACGCCTTCGACGTCAGCATCGATAGTATGCTTTTAACACTCGGAAACGGTGGTTGTCTTTGCATCCCA